GGGCTTGGGGGTTGGCAGGGCTTGCGCTCGGGGGTCCCTCACCCCCGCCAGGTGCTCTCCCTCCTGCCTGCAGTGAAAGTGGAATTGGGGTAGAGGGCAGCAGTACTGCTGGGTCCTGATGCCGTTTGTTTCAGGGATGCTCTTGCTTGTCAGACCCACGTACCCCTTTTGGCTCCCTTAACCTTGTACTGGGCTCGAGGGAGTGGCTCCAATCTACCAGGAAAACCAGAAGGTTTCTGTGGAACACCAAACCTACCTTCCCGCACCTGCTCCCAGCTTAGTCGTTATGGCATTGCCCCAGGGAGTCAGAGGGCTTCCTCGGGCCAAGGCAGAAGGTCACCCCTGGTCTCCTCCTCGCAACCACACACACAGATACCATGCTGGAGACCAGACGGACTGAATTGCAGCAAGGTCTGTCAGCTCTTTCAGTCCTTCGTTTTTCAACAGCTGCTGCTCTTATAAGAAACTTGAGCTTAATATGAAAATCTGCGCTTCTACAGGAGCAGAGGGATGAAAGGGTGGATTTTCTACAGAAAAATGAGTCTTCCAAAAATTTGGAGTATGGGTGTTATGCAGGGGACACAGCAGTGCGTAGGCTGGGAAGAGCAAGAATGACATATGAAAGCAAACTCTCTTTCTGTAGCAAAATGCATTCAGCTGTACACTGGAAGGTCAGGAGTCTGCGGGATGATGGGTAGGGAGATTCTCGAAAGGGCCAAGACAGGGAAACTCCCTGCATAAGGGCTGACTGCCGTCTGCTGGGCAATGCTTTGCTCCAGATAGACGCAGGGCTGCAGCTCTGTCTCCACCACAGCCCATGCTGCCTCTGAGGACGGAGCAGGACCACAGTGCAGCTCCAGCTCAGAAAGCCTTCGATTGCCTGACCACCCGATCCACAACCATACGCTGGAAGATCCCTCTTGGCTCAAAACACTTGTGGAATTAGAGCTCTGTACAGCACCGAACCCTCACCTTACTCTCCAGGCTGTGTAGGACCCCAGGGAAATTCCGGTGGAGCCATCTCAGCCCAGAGAAGTACAAAATACGTTTGGTGAGAGTGAAGTGGCGGTTCAACGTGCTTACTGGCGTGAGACTCCCTGGGCTCAGCTGCAGGAGGTTAGGTTTGGGGGTAGGGGAACTAAGAGTCTCCAGAGCTGGAATGCTCCTGGAGTCCTCCTCACGCCCGAGAGCTAGGAAGAGGCTGCTGTCTGGATGGAGTTTAAGTTCAGTGCATGTTTGGAGATGTGAGAGGATTCCCAGACTCACCTGTGTGTTAGGGCCAAGGTTCATGTTAGAGCTAGGGAACTGAGTGTTGTCAGAGCTGGAACTCCCTGCTCCTTTCTGTCCTGACTTACTGACTAGTCTTCCTGGGTGTACCCTGGACCTGAGTTGTCGGTAACCTCATCTTCAGTCTTGTTTCTGGCCCTGTCTCCTGGTTGGACCTCAGACTCACATTATAGGTAATCCTTTTTCCTGGATGGATTTTGGCCTTGACTGGGATGTGATGTTCCCATCCCACATCCCTCCCTGTGCCAGCTCCATAACTGCCCTGGCTCTGTGACCTTGTCATAGCCGTCTGTGTCTGTCTTAGGTCCATATTTTCATCCCAGCTCATGACATGTCCCTGCCCAGAGTGTCTTAATAGCCCTTAATTACCTTGGCCAACCTCAGCTGGGGCCTCCACCCACACACCCTCCGGCCACTGACCCAGGGGCTCCGTGTAAACAGAGGCCTGGCCATCCAGATGTGACCTGAGCTATGCTGTAGGGGTGCATGTCCAGTCCTGTCTCCTGCTGTCCTGACATACAGGCTGGTCTTCCTGCACAGGCTGTAAACCTGTGCTACAGGCAGCTTCTTCTTCAGTCCTGCCTCCTGGGTGGACCTTGGACATGTATCATAGGTAGTCCTGTCTCTTGGCTGGATGCTGGGCTTGGCTCTGCCTTGCCGTGTTTGGGCTGTTGGTGGATCCAGCCACTACATACCTGTTCCCACTCAGAGACTTCAAGACTGCACCGTGGTCATTGAAGTCACTGCCCTTTCCTGCATCATGGTCACCTCTGCTCCTGGCTCGTCCTCCTGTGCAAAGCAGCACTGCTCCCGCTGCTCCCTGACACCCCCGGAGCTAGCGTAAAGCACAGAAGTTGTTATCTGACTTCAGATAAACCTGTGTCTGAAGCGGGGAAGAGGACTCACTGCTCTGCTGTGTGGCAGCATCAGAGTCGGGGTGCCAGGGCGCAGCGCGGGCTGGCTGCTCCCCAGGGGAGAGGGTAACAGGGCACGTGGAGGCAGGCCCCTCACCAGCCTGGCCCAATCCCACCCCTCAAGCACAGTGAGGAGGGCAGCTCCGGTGACAGCAGTGAGGTCCCACCACGAGTCTGATCCTCAGGCAGGCCCACGGTGACAAGGCAAGACCCAAGGTCAAGCTGGGGAGATGGGCGTGTGGGCCGGGGTCTGCATCAGTGGGGTACTGGGCTGGGCTCAGGCATGGCTGGAGTGTAGCTTGGGTGAAGGACAAGAGCCGCAGCTCCAAAGCGGCTCCCCAGGAAAGGGACAGGGAGCCCCTGCTGAGGTGTCTCAGCAGAGCTCTTTGGGAGAGCCTAGGCAGAAGCAGTTTCTGGCTTTCTTCACAACAGTTCTTAGCAGACTTTGAGCAACCAGCTACACAATGTGGAGGGGAGAGCACGCCCTGGGCCTTGGTGTACTGTGTCCTTCAGGCTTCAGTTCGTTGAATTACGTCTCTGTCTTGGTGGACCCCAACCATTTTCCTACTGCTCAGGATTTGAGAAACATGTTTTTTTTGAGAAAGATGTTTTCTGTGGTGCAAAACCTGCTCTGAAGGGCCTTAAGTTGCCTTACAACAGGTTAGCTTATATTTGACTTGGATAGCTCTTTGTATTTCGCAGACTGCAGCCAGTTGACACATCAATTCACTTATTGCTACCCCGCAGCAGATCCCAGGGAGTCCCTCTCAGCTCAAAACTCACGATGAACTTCATCTGCGTCCTTATGCCAGCCCTCATCCTATCTCTCAGGCTTCAGCAGAGCCCTTCTGCAATTCCATCTCTGAAAGAAATAGTTTCCATCACCTGTCCCCTAAGCTGACAGATGAAGCCGGGGCGGCCCTGTAGTCCCAAATGCTGGCTGAGCTGCACTTCAGTCCCGAGCACAGCCCTCATCGTAGCTCTCAGGGTGGAGGAGGACCTGAGGGAAACCCTTAGCCCTACCTTAGACAGTCACAAAAGCCCAGCCATTCTGCTTTCCCGTAGAAAAAGACACGGCTTTCTCCCACCTCAGCTCGCAGTTCAGGTTGCACCTCAGGCTGCGTAGCAGAGCAGGGGTGCAGGGGAGTCCTGTATCTGGCTCCTTTTCTCAAGGTTTCTTTCATACCCCTCAAAGGTGGGGAGGGCGGACCTCAGATCGGTGAACGTCTGCCTCTCAGACTGGCTTCAGTGTGACTTCAGGTAATGTTTGTATTTCTAGGTGTGCATCCAGCTGACTCAATAGAGAACATATGCCAGTGTGAGTAGAAAAAAAACCTGTGAGCAGTGGAACTGCCAGCTGTGTAGTTTTGTCTACTGCGATCCATATATACAACCGTAACTTTCTTACTGAGTGGCACCTTGCCAGTATCTAGGCTGGCGGACGTGCAGCTGCGGGTGCAAGCGCCGCCCAGAGAAGCCCATTTTTATGAGACAGGAGCTGTTACTTCAGCCTCTTTGCTGTGGCTGTTACAGCGTGGTGACTCCTGTAGGTGTTCGAAACCGAGCTAGCTGTTCAAAACCACAGCTTTTGGCTGCAGCAGCAGCAGGGTTCGTGTTCCCCTTTCTCTGTTCCTTCCACCCTGTCACTCTCAAGGGCAGAGACGGAGAAGGTACTGTTTAATAATGGGAAATCACCGGGAGTCTTCTTCATTGTTTCAGGAAAATGTTCAGTTCTCACTAATCAAAAGAAATTACTCTGGGAAACGAGAAAAACGTAGGAATCCTGTCAACTCCAGAAGTCGGTATTTGTAGCCAGTCTGTGTCTTTCCTCGAAGCCTGCTAGTGGACAACGATGCAGATCAGCTCTGTGGGTTCATAAAGGGCACTTTGACATGTTTCTGCATAACGAACGAGACAGCTGCTGACTCAGAAATTGCTGATGTGAGCTTTTTAGCTCGAGTATGAGTATAGTCTATTCACAAATTTATTAGTTGTTTATTTTCTATGTTAAAATATGGTTTACACAGAACTTAAGTTGTATGAGAATTAAAAACAGAGTACTGCGCTGCAAAAGTTCCCACGGGGTGCAATGAAGTGAGATACAAAAATGCTACTAAAATTAAAAACAGTCATTAGCTTTGCCATCTTAGTCATCTGACCTGACACCTTCGGCAGCCACTGTGGTGCCTGGAGACTTAATAGTCCAAGCTGCAAACACGTGCTGAGCCAGGACGAAGAACCAGTCCACACTGTATTTCTGGTTTGGCTAACGAGCAGTGCATTGTGTCATTTCACTTCCCTGCATCCTGGTTTCACAGAAGGGATAAATTATGCTTCCATCAAAATCTCTCAGACTAGGAATTATGACTGTATTCTGCAAAAACACGTACTTTTTTTGAACAGGTGGAAGAGCTGGCATTTTGTGCTATGCTTCAGCTAGGAGACACGAGTAACAGCACTCTTTGTTTTATAAAGAACAAAACCAGAGCTTTGAAGCAGACACGAATAACATGCATGAGGTTAGAATGAAATACGGAAATGTAGGTATGTGTAGATTATGTGCAGATGCATGAAGTTCATGTATAGCGCTGAACAGCATGGATGTTAAAGATGAGCAGTACAGAATCAGGCAGCAACGAACTGAGATACACAAATGCCGAAATTAAAGGCTTTATTAGCTGTGCCATCTCATGGTTTTCTGAACACCGTTTCTCAGTAGTCCCGGCGTTACTGAAACTGGTACTCAGCAGCCTATCCTGCTGCCCTGTGGG